AAACCGGACCGCTGCAGACCGCAAATAAGCTAAGGTAGGGCAGGGCGGCCGACTAGAGGCCGAAAAGGAATGCATGCCTTATCGGAGGGGACGGGCATCTGGGATGAATTGGAGATTTCTGTCTGTACTGCTTGGTGCTGCCGTGCGGGGGGAGGAGTACGAGTGCCTTGATATGCCTGTTAGGTTGTGGGTCCATCAGGACATGACGGTATCCTTCAAGTGGATTTCAAATAAGCCACTGGAGTATATTCAGGGCATCTTGACGAATCTGCATGATAAGATAGAAGACTTCGACTTTGGTATTTCCCTGTTCTGGGATCGGTCGGAAGAGATATGTTATGTGCCAGTGAGCGAGCTGGATGGGCAGGAGTTTGAAGCCAAGGTGCAGGCAGCGTCGGTGATCATGGCCGCGCATCCGGCGTCCTCTCACAGCTCCAACGACAATGCGGAAGACTCGCTGTCTGCACTGCCTATGGTTGCGAAGCACCAGTTCGGGTCGTCGACGACAGAAGCCGTGAATATCTTCGTAATCATTACGGACGACTGGGGCAAGTATCACGGCATGCCCGGTTGTGGACCAGCTGTGAAGAAGTGCAACTCGTTTTTCGAGAACACGCTCGTCTGCGAGGAGAACCCCACGATCGAGGATGAGGTCTCATGCGTAGATTATTACTGGTACCCGACTATTGAGCAGCTGTCTCACTCGGTGGAAACCTACAATGTGGTTCCCATCACCCTTGTGCTGGAAGACTTCGTGGACTGGTGGACAGATTTGTGGTCCAACCAGCTAAAGCTCAAGGCAGACCAGGGCCAATACGGGGTCTTCCCAATCTCCATGGACGCCGGCGGCGTGGCCCAGACCATTCTCGACAGCATCAACACCGTCAACTGCATCATCAAGACCACGACCACCAAGACACCCACCTCCGGAACCACCACCACCGGAACCAGCGGCACCTCCGGAACCAGCGGCACCTCCGGAACCAGCGTCACCACCGGAACCAGTGCCACTACTACTTCCATTGTACCCATCATAACCACCACCGCTGTACCGGGACCAGCGCCGGACCACAACAAGGCAATCGCCATCGGCAGCGCGGCAGCCGGGGCGGCGGCCTTACTCGCCGGCGCGGCTTGGTACAAACTGCGAGACAGTGCCCCACCGGAACTCGACGTCATCGAGGAGGAAGGTGCTGCGGATGCGGCCCAAGGCGGAGACCGTGAGTCCATTGTTGCCATGGAAGAAGACGCTTACGAGTAGACTTCGAATTTTAATTTATTGCTTAACTTGAAGTCCCAGTCGAAGCCGGGCTAGAGCACGTGTATCGACGGATCGTGTAGCCACCAGGGCGGCACATTTAGCGATGGCTTGTCTGGGACGCGCGGTTCTACTGGGCATGGCCGTGTGGGCCGTGTAAGTGAAGTATTTGGTTTCCTCAATCGCGGCCAACGTGGAGGGTTATACTAGCTGGTTGATCACCGCATTGCAGAGACCGCCGCGTGGCCGAAGCGTCCGCGCTGTAGCGGTACCGGTGGGGTCTTGAAGCCATTGCGCCGGCCGGGAACAATCCATCATAAGGGTCGCTTCAATTGTGCCCAGCGCCGCCGGGATCAGCGCCGGGCCACCACAAGGTAATTGTCATCAGCCGCGCCGCAGCCGAGGTGGTTAGTTGACGTACACGCACCGACTGGGGGGAGTATATATGCTGTGGAGGACTTTACTATTATCCTCACTGTCGGTCGTCTGGGGCGCCGACTACGAGTGCCTGGACCTTCCAGTTCGGTTGTGGATTAACCAGGATATGACAGGCTCATTTGGATGGGTTGCTACCCATCCATCGGATTACATCAAAGGCATGTTGCAGGCGTTGAAAGAGAACTTGGCGGATTTTGACTTCGGTATGTCACTCTTTTGGGATCGGTCGGAACCTAAATGTTATTTGCCCGTGAACGACTTGGATGGGAAGGATTTCGATGAGAAGGTGAAGGCGGCGTCCGAAATATTGGCGAAGAATCCTCCTCGCGGAAGTAATGAAAACGATTGGCCGGAGGACTCATTGTCTGCATTGCCCGTGGTGGCTGCAAACCAGTTTGCTTCCATGCCGACTGATGCGGTTAAGATTTTCGTCGTTATCACCGACGACTGGGGCAAGTACCACGGCATGGAATGTCCTGAGAAGCAGTGCTACACCCATTGGGAGACAGACGACGCAGTCATAAACGACAAGGTGACTGAGGAGGTTACCTGCGATACACACATCTGGTACCCGACAATGGACCAACTCATCGACAGCATAAAGACCTACAACATCATTCCCATTACCCTCATCGTCGAGAAGTACGTTGACTGGTGGACAGACATGTGGTCCGTCCACGCAAAACTGGACGCCAGCCAAGGCGAGTTCGGCGTGTTCCCCATGACCATGAGCGCCACAGGCGTTGCGCAGAGCATCGTCGAGAGTATCAACGCGGTGAGCTGCATCCTCAAGACCACGACGACCACGACCACGACGACCACGACCACACCCACAACCGCCACCACTGTTACCACGGTTGTTCCCATCATAACCACCACTGGTGTACCGGGACCAGCACCGGACCACAACAAGGCAATTGCCATCGGCAGCGCAGCAGCCGGGGCAGCCGCCTTGCTTGCTGGCGCGGCTTGGTACAAACTGCGAGATAGTCCACCACCCGAACTCGACGTCGTCGAGGAGGAAGGCGCGGCGGATGCGGCCCAAGCCGGGAACCGCGAGTCTATCGTAGCCATGGAAGAAGACGCGTATGAATAGACTTAGGCTGTCCAGCGTATACGGTTTTAGACCACAATGAAACTAGGCAAGCCGAGCTTTTGATCTAGGCATTCCCACGGAAAAGGTTGGTGTAAAGACCTGTCAGAACTCCTCTCGGCTGTGACATGACGGAGTTGTGGCCAGTTTGTAGCCTCTTCGGTGTAGTTTTTGGTAACAATTTTTGGTTGATGTTAAGCTTGTGGTTGGTGTGCACGTTTGTTGTGTGCCCCTTTGTGGTATGGGGTGTGCACGGGCAATACGAGTGGATACTAGATGCTCGATTCGACAATGAGCCGATATTTTTCTTGAACCACACGATCAGTGGGACGCCTACAAATTGTTGTGATGAGTGCGAAACACAAGTACCTACGGCGGAGGTGGTGGCATGTGTGTCGAAGTATGCAGGACGACGGGATTGCGAATGTCGTTTGGACTACGAATTGATGACGAATAAATTCTACATGTGCGATGACACATGGGAAGATATGTGGCGATGGGATGGTAACAGTTTTTTGACGAATGGCCCATTTGACGAGATCGAGGTGGACTTCTTGAAGTTCAGTTTAGTACAGCCATGGACCAGTTTCGAGACGATGCTTTGGCCTTACGTTTGGCGTGTTGATGAGGAAGATCCATGTGGAAAGCCGTTTGAGGATCGCGCACTCACCCTCATTGATAGCCGCTTTGACATGACCCAGTTCAGCTATATCCTCACCTTCAACTCCACGGTCACTCTGCCTCGAGCCTGGACATTTACGGCCGAAGTTCCTGCTGATGCGGACTGCTACTTCCTCTTCAAAGATCTCACCACCCATGGACACATGATACGCGGTCTCAATCCCACACCCAGTCCCACTGTCACACCCTTCGACTTCAATCACACTCACACCGCACCTCAAGAAGACCAGGAAACCGTCTCTAACGCCGGACACACCACCCCCGTTTCCACCGCTGCACCCAGCGACGAACCCAGACTAAGAGCCCTCCAGCTCACTCAAGGTGCGCCCAACACCAGCGTTGGAGCCACAACACGGGAAACCGCCAGCCTGCTTGTATTCACAGGACTACTGTGCTTTTTTGGGAACTAGCTGCTCGCTGTGCTTTTTTGGGAACTGGCCCGTTCTCTGACTGGGCCATTCAGGGCGGCTCAAAGCAAGGACAGGGCGACCAACCCGACAGGTTGGAGCGGCGGAAGGGCAAATGGTGGTGCTGCGTCAGACCAGGTGGGGGGTGAGGGGAGCATGCTTCCGTGGCTCCTTATTTCACTGACGGCGGGAATGCAGTACTGCGGTCTGGCGGACCCGCAAGAGGTGTGCGGTCCTGCTTTCTTCCGGAATCCCGACCTGTCGAACGACATCCCGGTTGACTGGGGTCAGTACCTGCGGAACGTGACGGGAATGTATCCTTCGCCGAACGGAAGCACGGTGACGTTGGAGTTTGCTTCCGCAGCGCCATCCAGAAAAGCGGACCCTGATGTGGATTCCACTGAGGCTGATTCCGCCTCGACTGAGACGGATCCCGGCTCGGACGACCAGGACCCAGGAGGCGACTCGGGAGGTGGGTTCCGTGCTGAGCTGTCGAGTGCGTTGAGTATGGTGGACCCAGCAAGCGGTGCGAACGTGCTGGAGACGATTGGACGACGTGGGTACGTGTTGAATACGGCCCGGCAATATGAGCGAGTGTTGACAGCGACGGTGTCTGGATCATCGACTTGGTTCGGTGAGACTGCGTTTGTGTGTGTCCTGAGTTCAGTGGTCATACGCGGTGTTGATTACCGACTCGAGTGTGTGCACGGGTCGATAGCAGCAGATGCGAACACACAGGCGGCGGTGGATCGTTGGTGTCGTGCGAGTGTGGCTGGAGTCGCGTTTGATACGGTGTTGGGAGGTTATTGTGGCGTGCATTCGGACAGCGTGTTTCTCGCGTTCAAAGATGAGAAGGGTGAGACTCAATTTTTGGCCTACCCATCCATGACGTCGGATGCCATGGTCGACCCAGCATTGGGGAGCGAGATGGCTTCCCTTGTGGCCGTAGATGGCGTCCGCGATGGTGCAGGCAATGGCCAAGCCATGGCCGTCCAGATATCGCAAAGTTTGTTTCTCTTCGGCGACGCCGCCGCCGGCGGCGCCACAGATGAAGGTGAGCACGTTGTGCGCAATGCCCTGAATCCCGTTGCCGGTTCCAACTCCATCAGTGCACGAACTTCCGCGCGCGCTCCACTCTTCTTCGGTGACATCGGACTAGGAATAGGCCCCGGCGCCGCTTGGCTCGTTAACGACATTTTTAGCGCACCCTGGTCACCCTGCTACGTCGCCGTCGACTTGCAGACTCATCAACTCGTCAGCTGGGGTGCCGCCGAGGTTTGTTCGCCTTACGCCGAGTCAAGCGAGGCCGCAGTCGGCCTCGCTTCTATCCAGACGGCCATCACGAGTGCAGCCGCCGCAGAGGAGACAGAGACTGCGGCCACGGTGGCACGCGTCGTCCTGGGCGGCGACGTCTTCGCCGCCGTACTCAGCAACGGCCAGGGCTTCTCGTGGGGCGCCATCACCAGTGGCGCCGCGGGCCCTCTGGGTACCATAAAGGCGAATGCCGACGGCGCCTTCCAGATAGCTGCCACCGGGGGCGCCGTAGCCTTCACTAGCGCCGACGGACTCACACAGGCCGCCGGCCAGGCCGCTTTCGGCGGCGAAGTTGCTGACAGTACCATCGCCGCACGCCTCGCCAACGCCGTCGTCGACCTATACAGCGCACCCGCCTTCTTCTTGGCACGCACCTATGACGACGAACTCGTCGTCTGGAACGGCGATTACCAGGGCGTATATGGCGCCAAGTCCACTCTCGTCTCGCGCAGATACGACTACCCCTTCCTACATCCACTCGGCACCGATACACAAATACTCGCACTCATGCAAAGACCCTGCGCCTACTCAGACTGGCTACCCGGAGACTGTCTCGACAATCTTGAAACCGACTCACGCACTGTCGACGTACCACCTATCAACGCTATCTGCACCCAACCTCTCGAACGGGAGACATCTTGCGGAAGCTCCTCCACCGAAAGCTCCTCCACGACGCAAGCTCCCGAACACTACTGGACCACCAAATACCTCGTTGGAACCGTCGTCGGCGCCACACTCCTAGCCCTCGTCGTTGGACTCCTCTATATTCTCTGGGCCGGCAAACAAACACGTACCTACGACGACGACGACCACCTCTGACCCTGACCCTGTACAAGTCATGACCCTGACCGTGTACAAGTCATGACCCTGACCCTGTACAAGTCAACTCTCTCCCACCCCCTAGTCCCCCATGTACGATTCTGACTACTTATGAGCAATTGTGATTAATTCCCAAATCTCACTGAGTGCTGGTAATTGAACGGCGACACAATCCTCACGTAGTCGGGGAACAGCAGATTAGTCATCGAAATTTTTCATGGATTTGAAAGATCTCTGGCTGCCTCGGATCGAGATTAAAAAGTCCTTTCCGGGGGTGCCGTACCCGGAATGTAATCTACTCATTGTTATTGTTAACGCCTCAGTTTCTACCGCTAGACATACCATGACACTGTTAGACTATTTACTAGAGTAAGTGAAGCCAGCCTCTACACGTGGGTCTGTGCGGTGTGGCGTGTGCTAAAGGGTGTGTGCTAAATGGTGTGTGCTAAATGGTGTGTGCTAAATGGTGGAAGGTCTGGGTCTAGTAAGTCACAATTATGTGTCAGTGTGTCGGATCCCTATGCTCTTGCGCTTACGGGTTTAGTTTACTCGCGAACGGCGAAGCATGGGGGAGTGGTGGATGTGGAATGCTGGAGTGATGTGGAGAACAAGACCCGAGACGAGATCTGTCAAGCGTTAGTCTCGCGACCAAAGACGATAGTTCTATTGCTGACAGATGTGAACAAGGATGACCCAGCGCAAACCAAGAAGGTCCAGCAGGCTGCGAAGCTGATGCCCAATACGACGCTGCATATCCTGTCGATCATGTCCAAGCCATTTCCGAGCAACCAGTCGCCACACGTATTCAATGTGTTACCATTGGACCGGTGGTCAAAAAGCAAAGTCACGGCGGACTCTCACGCCGGCAATGAAGTCGACTTCATGCACCTAAGTACCTACTCCCTCTCCTTGGTCGTACCACCTTGGTCGTACCACCTTGGTCGTACCACCTTGGTCGTACCACCTTGGTCGTACCACCTTGGTCGTACCACCTTGGTC